AAAAGTGCAATTTTATAAAACACCATTAGCGCCCTTGATTTTTGCTATAGGAATGTCTTTTTCTTCACTATTTAAGCAAAATCCGGTACCTATTAATTTGTTCCGACTGTAAAATTTTCGGAGCTGAACTTAGAAAGTGTGTTGTTATAATTTCGGACCAAAATCGACAAGCTCCTTTCATAATTTCGCGCTCGGAGTTTGTATTTATTCTGTAACACTACCTATATTATAGCAAATTTATGCACACCCTATTTATTTTTCTGTGAATTTTGTTTTGTTTTGTAATAAAAATACCTTTCATTAGGAATAAATTTTTTGTAGAAATGTATTTTAAAAACGGACTATTTTCAACGCTACTATGAGCTTTGTCTATGGATTCACAAACTATCTGTAGAGACGGCAACACCGAACCTAAAAGCTGAATTCAAAATTCGTCAAATATACACAATATTTATTGTTTGCCCACGATACACATAGGTACTAACGGTGAACGGTATGCTGGCTTTCGATTCAAATTTCGTCCAAACTGCGCAGTGACGTAATTCGGGACGAACTTTCAAGTTATTTTGACACTTTTTGATTGAATAGTGTAAAATAATTTATTTGCTTTCTATTAGGGGGCGTCCATTAATTACGTGAGGTGTTCAAGGGGGGGAGGGGATAAAACTAAATCTTTCTAAATCTCACTTGGGGGATGGGGGGTTTTCGTAAATCTCACGTAATTTTTTTTTCTAGTAGAAAACGATGTAAAATTGCGTGAAAGTAAAGTTAAATTATAGTAAAAGTATTTCTAGAATAAAATATGGAAAAATCTTATAATTATGTTTATTTACAACCATATATGTAATGTTGTCATTACTAACGTCATTGAAGGTTGAGAAGTGTCACATTACACACCTCTACTATTTTTTGACAAATTTTATAATACCTATTTAATGGAAAACAATAAAAAACAACAATACAACAAACTACTTATTAATATTTATTATTCGCGAATTTAATATCCGGCTTTATCTGACATTTGTTTATTCCTGTCTCGAGATCATAGCTAACCTCGACGCTTCGCGTCTCGGTGATCTAACTAATCTCACGACATTTCCATTTAAGTATTTATCATTTAATTTTATTAATGTGATTTTAAATAATTGCAACACTCTCAAACACTAGTCTTTGCTAGTCTTAAATAAAAGTAATGGAACATATTGTGTTTTTGTTTTTTTTTTTAATAATCCAACACATTTACACTCAAAACACGAATTTTGAAAAATCTCACGTGAGATTAGGGAAGGGGGGGAGGGAGTTAAGGAAAATCTTACCAAATCTCGCCAGGGGGAGAGGGGGAGTCAAAAAATCCTCAAAAATACCTCACGTAATTAATGGACGCTCCCTTAGTAGTGGCTATATGCGCTAGTTCAGTGATGATGTAATTATGGTTCCACTGACAATTAAAGTGACAGTAGATTTTTTGTGTGCGTTTTGTTCGTTTTGTTTACCTAAATTATATCGTTCTTTCACTTAATATAAATATATTCCTAAAGTAAGTAGATAGCATGCATTAAATATACAATCGCTTAGTTACCAATTACATACCTTTAAACTATTGTTTATGACTTGTTAACAATATTTAGATAGAAATAAACTAAACACAGTAAAAACGTATATGTCAAATTTATTGATGTTTTTGTTAAAAATTTGGTTACAATTAAATGTCAGTGGAACCAAAATGACATTAGACTGAACTAGCGCTTTTTCCTATATATAATAGAGACGAACTGAATTAATATTTAAATGGCCGGGCTGAGCGGTGGAGACTTGCAAAATCCATAATGCGAAATCCAAAAATAGTGTAATGTAAGATATTTTCGAATGCCACAAAATGTGGATAAATTCTTATCGAAGAAAGGACAAACTTCATTTAAACAATAATGGTTAGTAAAATGCACAAGTGTAATAGGTTTAGAGACAGTGAAAAGTTACTAAAATAAAAAATATATAAATACTTTTTATTTTAGCATGAAGTTGCCCTATCTACTTTGAGGAAAGTAGTAAACATAGACGCAAGAGAAGAAAACTGAATTCCACCAGGTGCATGGGGCCTCATTAAGCAAAGAAAATAGGTATTTTAAAATTTTAGCAGATAAAACAGTAGTTTCATGTCCCAATACAACGGTCCCTTTTCAAGAAATACTATGCAAGAGCTTGACAGGAACATATATAAGAATAAGATACATGAATAGAAAAATTGGTTTTGAATATTTTCAAAGTAAACTTGACAAAAAATGTTTAAATTTACCAAATAAAAAATTTTTTTGTGTACATACTTTTTATAAATAAATAATTTGTTTCTTCATACTAAGAAAATAAATTTAAAGAGAACTTCCACGTCCAGAAAGTACAAATTTCAGTCAAACTTATATTTTTAGTCTATATTTTTTGTTTATCTTATACAGGTTATGGATTTGGTCACAAAATACTTAGAATTTATGAGAAAAATTAAAATTTTTATTAGTATTATTTACCTTAAACCTTCATATTTGTAAACGAATATATTACAAAATAACCAATAAAGCTTAGGTAACTGCATAAAATCTAAAACCGACGAAATATCAAATTCCAAACACTATCTTCCATTTAATAACAACAATTCTATGTCCCACGTGACGTCAATGTCAGTCAGCTGCATGCGCAGGAACATACCGTTAGTCTGTGTATCGTGTTGTTTGCAGTTCTATTCGCTCCGTGCGAAGTCATGGAAAGGGAAGCAAAAGCGATACTAGCGCTAGCTGCGGATAATTAGTGCATTTTAGGGCGATATTTGGTAATTTTGGCATATCAAATACACGTACACATTTTACGTTTTTTCAAAAAAGTAGTAAAAACAATACAATAAGCAACCGGAGTTGCTGTGTTGAAAATTGTACAAATACTAGCAAAAAAACAGTGAAACTTATATATAAAATTTCAGTAGCAAAGTGTTTTACTAGTTCTACAAATCCATATACTTTTATTAAAACTAACATATATACTTTTTATTTACGAATTCTATTAAAAATTGTATTTGTCAGTATATACAGAAATAGTCCATTAGTACCAAAACGAATTGGCGCTGCTGTCGCGCACGGAGCGAATACATTGATCGGGAAGAAACTCTGTAATATTTATTGGTTTAGGCAACTGAACATACTTTTAGTGACTGGTGCGCCATCTGGCATTGAAAATATTGATTATCATGGTATCCAAACGTAAAAGAGGACCATTGAGGGCAGCACCTCCCGGTGTCCTCTGAAATTTTTAAGCAATGTTCAATTTTAGAAAAACTACTTAGTTTTTAAAAAATGGTAAATACACAAGTTGTTCAGTGGAAAATAAAGAATGGCGGATGATAACATTTATACGTATATGACTTTTTTTATATTTTTTTCATTTTATTTTTTTATGTTTATAAAAAAAAGTTATCATGCGCCAATCTACGATGCATAAGAAGCTCGGATACAAAAAAGATTTTTTATTTGGTGAGTATTAAGCCCGCAATTTGAACATTAACATTTCCAATATGGCGGACGGGTATGGAACCCTCTTAATACAAATGAAAACTCCAAGCGAGGAAAACATAGATATTCGATATCATTTCATTAAGGACTTATATGAAAAAGGGAAATTTTTAATTGAATATGTTAATACAAATGAGAATATTTCGGATTTGTTTACAAAAGCTTTAGGAAAACAAAAGTTTACAAAGTTTAGGGATTTGTTATGTAGATAATAATTTTGTTTTGTCAATTTCATAATTTTGTGTTTTTATGTTAAAAAAAATTCATTGAGGGGCGTGTTAAATATGTTGCTGCACAACCTACTAAGTGAACTGTCAAAAGTCTTATCACTGTCATTCTGTCTAGTAAAGTTAGTTGTTGGTTACAAATTGCTTGTATTTTTCTATTCAATATACGTTTCCTAATTTACCTAAAAAGGTGTTTGATTTTATTACTATAAAATATACAACCTTACATACTCCTTTCCCATTTAAGCGCCAAAAAACCTTGCTCTCTCTTATGAAAAATTTACAGTAATTTAAGCATTAGCGCTAACCTTTTCACACTCATAAATCTGTTTCACTCTCACTAACACAAGTACAGTAAAAATAGACCATTAAACGCATCAACAGCTACAAGCGACATATGCTATAATTCTCTGCAAAGAAATTCACGCAAAACTTTGGGTTATGGTTCCTCAGCCAATCACGATGAGACACACCCACAATTGCAAGCCTTTTTACTTCCACTCGACAAGACAAATAATGAGACTCTTTCTGACCTCCGACACTTCAAAACCTTTGTTTTTTTCTTCGGTCGCATGTTCGACGCTATTTACTAAAAACACAAATCGAGAGATGTATTAAACCTGATTTTGATTATAAATCATAAATTTAAGTACTCATATCATTTCACTATAAAGCAAGTTTATAGTTTAAATAAAATTTTTAACTGAAAAACGTAGTTAATTTCATCATTAACAAATAAATGGTAATTCCTCTACAAGCATCACACATTTCTACTGCCGTCATAAGCCAAACCACCGTAACTGACAAATTACAAATATTCGAGATTATTTGGCCATTCTGATAGTAACCCTTTTTTCTTTTTAAAAAATAACCAAAATCACGGTAATTTTTATTCTGTATCCCAAAAAGTCAACTTGATTCTACAATGTAGAGAATTCTTATCAAAAACCTTAACCCACAAGTCAACACAAAAAATTATCTCAAACTTATTTTTAACTTGCTAAAAGCATTATCCAAAAATGGTCTCTAATTCAATAAAAGCAGCTATATTGGTACCACCGATCAAAATGCTGGCACTAATAAATTTCTTTTATTGCTTATGACGGCAGCCTAGCTACATTACTACAGTCCACTCGTCCCAGCTGATGGGAAGAAACCCTTCTTTCTGTAACGGTGATTGAGAATAGTTCAAAGTAGCAGAGAACAATATTATTTACTATACCCTGAATTTGAATTTTTCCTCCTTTTTCTTGATCCAGTTCAAAGCTTGTTGCTGTGGATCAATGCACAACGGAAACCTTGAACCTTTCAACGTCAGTATTCCATTTTGAACGGAAAGCTCATCAGGAGGCAAATTTTCTGAATTCCATTGGCTAATTTCTACTTCTGTCGTTAAAAATATCTCCATTCTAAATAAAACAAAAAAGACGACAATGTTAGTAAGTACAGCAAGGAAATCACAAATTTTATTAGGTCAAAGAAATATGTCTCTAGATGTAATCAACACATGTATTTTTATTTTTAGATAGCCGTATTTCAGAAAAATTTTCGAAAAGTATATTTAGAACATACCTGAAAGGTTGTGACAAGGGAACTTCTCTTTGTAAGATATCGGCTTGCCAATCAACATAAACCATTTCTCTTCTGAATTCGAATGTGAAAGGCCCACAGTATGCAAGGAATCCAGCGCAAAGCAAACAAATACCAATTAGTCGTTCTTTGTCTTTATATTGTTCGGCCAAATCTATCTTCCATCTAAAATGTTACAAATTATTAAAGAGTTATCCACAAAAATGTTTCTTTAGTAGGCCATAACTGGCAAAGACACAGATACGAGTCATGTCCGTGATAACTGCGCAACACTTTAAATTAAAGGTACCATTTGGGTAGGCACGTCAGGAGACAAGGGACCACTGAGGCGACCCCAAGGTCGAGTAGGACGACAGATGCATAAATGTTACGCTTCGTACATTTCGCAAACTTGAGAAGTGTCGCGCGACACTTACAGGATAACCATTCGAGGGAACGATCAGCGTTGCCAGACCTACTGTTTTCACGTAGATCCACTGTTTCTGTCTCTAGCAAATTTTGTTCTTAATTTATTAAGTTTGCCTTATTCTTCAGCAAATGGTTAAAGAATATTTTCTCTAGTAAATTTTTTGCAGTAAAAGCAGCGTAATAAGCATCCACTACTCCAGGTTGGCTCCATAAAAACATAAAAAACATCAAGATAATCATTGTTTTTATTTAAAATGAAACAAAGAATTAATAGGGCATCATAAAAAGAACATGCACCCTACGATTTTGAATTGTCTGATTCAGACTGATCTAAAAGAAGTAGGTACCTACCTATTATTTTTCGTTGTTTTTTTTTGTTTCCGTACGTTAAGTATATATTAAAAATGTAATTATTTGTGTTTATTCTTTGTTTACCTTCTAATTTGGGTCGAAAAAAGTTTATTTTTCGTTTCTTATATACTTGTTTTTTTATTTACTACACTGCAAATTTTAATTATTTCCCCTTGTATTAAAATCTACTGTTCAGATCTACGGGTTTTTTTTCACCCATACTGTTCCAAAATCTGGCAACACTGCCTAGATCGAAAGAAATTTTCAACCTATTCACCTCCAAGCGATGAAGCGATGCTCGAGGACAGTGACCTCGAGTGTGACGGCAGCAAACCTTTGCCCCGAGTCAGATTCAGAAGTGTCGTCTGACGACACTTCTCGTGTCGCGCCGTGCGAACTGTGTTTCATATAATTGTATGTATTTTAGATGTAAAGCGACACTTCTCGGTCGCGTCGGCGGTCGTATGTCGCGTCGGCGGTCGTCTGTCGCGCCTACCGAAATGGTACCTTTAATCACTTAAAAAGAAGCTTTATACATGCTTATGGTTTTTAAGATGGTACGATTTGAGTGACCTTGCCCGAGAAAGTGTCGTAGTTTTGGCCTAACTTTTTTAACTTTAACTTTTTTAACTTTTTTAACTTTTTTAACTTTTTTAACTTTTTTAACTTTTTTAACTTTTTTAACTTTTTTAACTTTTTTAACTTTTTTAACTTTTTTAACTTTTTTAACTTTTTTAACTTTTTTAACTTTTTTAACTTTTTTAACTTTTTTAACTTTTTTAACTTTTTTAACTTTTTTTAACTTTTTTTAACTTTTTTTAACTTTTTTTAACTTTTTTAACTTTTTTAACTTTTTTAACTTTTTTAACTTTTTTAACTTTTTTAACTTTTTTAACTTTTTTAACTTTTTTAACTTTTTTAACTTTTTTAACTTTTTTAACTTTTTTAACTTTTTTAACTTTTTTAACTTTTTTAACTTTTTTAACTTTTTTAACTTTTTTAACTTTTTTAACTTTTTTAACTTTTTTAACTTTTTTAACTTTTTTAACTTTTTTAACTTTTTTAACTTTTTTAACTTTTTTAACTTTTTTAACTTTTTTAACTTTTTTAACTTTTTTAACTTTTTTAACTTTTTTAACTTTTTTAACTTTTTTAACTTTTTTAACTTTTTTAACTTTTTTACTAACTTTTTTAACTTTTTTAACTTTTTTAACTTTTTTAACTTTTTTAACTTTTTTAACTTTTTCTTTTTTAACTTTTTTAACTTTTTTAACTTTTTTAACTTTTTTAACTTTTTTAACTTTTTTAACTTTTTTAACTTTTTTAACTTTTTTAACTTTTTTAACTTTTTTAACTTTTTAACTTTTTTAACTTTTTTAACTTTTTTAACTTTTTTAACTTTTTTAACTTTTTTAACTTTTTTAACTTTTTAACTTTTTTAACTTTTTAACTTTTTAACTTTTTTAACTTTTTTAACTTTTTTAACTTTTTTAACTTTTTTAACTTTTTTAACTTTTTTAACTTTTTTAACTTTTTTAACTTTTTTAACTTTTTTAACTTTTTTAACTTTTTTAACTTTTTTAACTTTTTTAACTTTTTTAACTTTTTTAACTTTTTTAACTTTTTTAACTTTTTTAACTTTTTTAACTTTTTTAACTTTTTTAACTTTTTTAACTTTTTTAACTTTTTTAACTTTTTTAACTTTTTTAACTTTTTTAACTTTTTTAACTTTTTTAACTTTTTTAACTTTTTTAACTTTTTTAACTTTTTTAACTTTTTTAACTTTTTTAACTTTTTTAACTTTTTTAACTTTTTTAACTTTTTTAACTTTTTTAACTTTTTTAACTTTTTTAACTTTTTAACTTTTTTAACTTTTTTAACTTTTTTAACTTTTTTAACTTTTTTAACTTTTTTAACTTTTTTAACTTTTTTAACTTTTTTAACTTTTTTAACTTTTTAACTTTTTTAACTTTTTTAACTTTTTTAACTTTTTTAACTTTTTAACTTTTTTAACTTTTTTAACTTTTTTAACTTTTTTAACTTTTTTAACTTTTTTAACTTTTTTAACTTTTTTAACTTTTTTAACTTTTTTAACTTTTTTAACTTTTTTAACTTTTTTAACTTTTTTAACTTTTTTAACTTTTTTAACTTTTTTAACTTTTTTAACTTTTTAACTTTTTTAACTTTTTTAACTTTTTTAACTTTTTAACTTTTTTAACTTTTTTAACTTTTTTAACTTTTTTAACTTTTTTAACTTTTTTAACTTTTTTAACTTTTTTAACTTTTTTAACTTTTTTAACTTTTTTAACTTTTTTAACTTTTTTAACTTTTTTAACTTTTTTAACTTTTTTAACTTTTTTAACTTTTTTAACTTTTTTAACTTTTTTAACTTTTTTAACTTTTTTAACTTTTTTAACCGAAATATATTTTTAAAAAAGTGCCGCGTTTGGACGTAAGGGACCAATACTACCGTCAGTCGTGCAACAATCTGTATATTCTAGATTTCAAAATGTACCTAGCTTGTTCAGAACTAAGTCCATTTATTAACTTATCAGCAGCTTCTGATCGTTTTAGCATGAGTTCAGTTTCCTCTTGTAGTTCACGCTTTCTGTTCATTGCAGTTGTATATTTAGTGTTCAAGTCGTCCAATTTCTTTTCCAAATTTCTTATTTCGTTCGAAAGCCTCTCCATGAACCTCTGAGCTGCCCTAAATTCCTGTTGAAGCTGTTCGACTCTCTCCTTTTTGGGTTTTACTTCTTTGAATACTTCGCAGTATCCCAATACGGCTTGAACGAACCGAAGCAAGCCATAGCCTTAATAACAAAAACGGTAGATTTCTCAGATTTCATTAACTAAACCTATGACCACCAGTTTATAGCTAAAGAATTAGTTAGCTTACTCGGACTAAGTGGATGTTCCAAAAAAAAAAAATATCGCGACGAATTGATAACCTCCTCCTTTTTTGAAGTCGGTTAATAACATACACTCCAGGGATAAAAATTCACGATGCGCAATGTATAAACTAGAACACTGAGATCAAAAGTGCCGGTACAGATTGAGCGAACTGATTCTTTAGCTGTAACACTGTGACCATACTAAGAAAATATAGGTAATAATACTGACCAGCTTTACTGATAGACTTCATTTCAGTTAGTTTTGAAGACTTAGCCATATGGTTCTTAGTCGCTCTCTGCTGGCTGATAGTTATCCCATCACAATTCATTTCTTGCAGGCTCCTTAAGAAATTACCTTCGGCCATCATACCTTTTGCAGCTTTCCAATTGATTTCGCGGTATCCTGTAAAAATTATTGGTTTGAAATGCATATTTATTAACTGGGTTTTAACTGTAATAATATACCGACCTCTAAGAATAAGAACGCATTCACAAATAATCTGAACAGGTTCAGGAGGTGTCGCAAAAGATCGAATTTCAGTAATATCCGCTTTGTCCAATTCTGCCAAAGCCATTCGAGCAGCTTCTAATACAGGCAATGCTTCAGCCAAAGATGCTTCAGCCTCAGCCTGCTCGACGCTGATTAATTTGGATTGCACTTCAATTTCAGCGCTTTTCAGAAAAGCAACGTCCTTCTTTTCAACTGCTATCTTTGTACCTAAAATAAAAATAGTAGAGGTGTAGAGCTGATTCCAATAGTTATTATTAACTAGTCTGACTCTTCAGTAAGTAATTCGCTCTTTACTACACTCCTATTTTGTTTTAGAGGTATAATTTTATTGTACTTATTATTTTAAAATGTGCTTACTCTCGTCGATTTCTATCAACATGTTGTCGCAGTCTTCAGATGCTTGTTTAACAATTACCTGCTGGGTAGCTAATTTCGCATTCAGGATATCTAAGTCGGCACTAGCTTCAGCGATTTTGGTTAAACCACTGTTTAACCTATCACACTGACCAGCTACGTAATCATCTTTCTCTTCTAGTAATCTAAAAGGTAACGAAAAACATGTTTAACTGATCATTAACGATAAAGATAAATGGTAACGTTTGGATGTCATGTCAACATGCTCTTCACCATCTTGTAACCAAGATACATGGAAAAATAATTAGGTATGAAATAGTCCTAGGAACATTTCTTGACATAAACGAGGCTTTTGATGACACTTTTAGATCAATGGTAGCTAACGCACAAAAACATGGAATAGAATACACCAACTACTAGTGGATTGAAGTATAAGTGAATATTGCCCTATCTTCCCTATAGAGAAATATAGAGGCAGATGAATAATTGAGAACACCAAATCACAGTGTTCGAACTTCTGCGACAGAAATATGGGACCTTAGGGATAACGTTTTGGTAGACACAATTTACAACCTTTATTCGGAAAATGTAAAATGTTGTTCATTGTAGTGAGAAGGGTATTTGGGAAAACATGGGGATTAAAATTTGTTCGGCAATAACAAGACTATGAAGTAGTTGTTTGATGGCCAATAGTAAACAATCCTCAATACAGTCTTAGGCATACAGAGGCTGACATACCTTTGCATTACACAGAAGCACCGAGAAGCAAACCGACAGTCTCTATGGAAAAAATTCTAATCCTCCCACATTTTGACCTAGTCATAAAGCGGGTGGCCAAAATAAGTACCTACAAAATGCTGGAGGCCAAGAAGTGTTAAATCGAGACATCTAGGATAATTAAATTAATCCAGTCTCTACCAAATGGTTATTAATAGCCGTCAGAAGCTCAGAATTCTTTTAAAATTTGAGTCTGGGGACTGCAAATAATCTTAAATAAAACAAGATCAGAGCTCAGAAAAATCACTGGATTTCTTAGCTGACACTGCAATCCAACATATCATGACTATGGTATATCAGCTGGTAGAGAAAAACAACTGAAAACGTCCTATGCCACTGAAGAATTCTGGTCAGTATTTAAACCATGGGCTATTAACTATATGGTAGCTATATACAATTGCTTTCAGAATAATCTTTTTAGGGAATTGTTTAAAATTCCTCCAATTTTCACTAATATTGCCCGACAATTTCAAGGGCTTCGGTAAATTAAAGCGAGACATCGTGTTGGCGGGCCTTTTCGGTACGTAGCAGTGACCTCTCGCTTATTTTTCGTTGCAAAAATGGACAACTTACTTATATCCTACTGACTGCGCCATGAATTGTATTTGCTTTTCTGAATATAATTAAAACACTTTAACTGCAACTAGTTTTATTGTAAGAACCCAGATACAAATATGTAATGTGGCTCGTCTGCTCCATAGGTAAGGGAAGAACAGAATAGCAATTTAATGTTAAATCATCAGACTATGAATTGAGCGCTATCTGACAGATTGTGGACGCATAATGTAGCTAGACGACTTACATTGTAAAAGACCATAAAGATTAGAAAACGATCATTGGCTGTAAGCCTTATTTAAATACGCACGTTTCGTGTAGAAGCAGAATTAACCAAAGTCCTCAGTCAAGAAAACAAACATTGAGGTTACGTCATTTTCATTTGTTTACCAAAGGGCCGATTCCACCGTTGTGTTAAACTAAGCTAAAATTACTAAACGAAGATTAAAATGACATTGTAATGTAAAAATGTAATTTTAATGTTCGTTTGTAATTTAAACTTCGTTAACACAACGGTGGAATCGGCCCTAAATAATTAAAGCCAAATTTTCTAATTTATTTAATTATAATCCTATTTTTGTGTTATCTTGTTTATTTTAATAGTATTTTTAATTCAAAGTTACAATTATAATGAATGCTAAATGTGGAATTTTATTTACATATCTACTTGGGAAGTTAAGGCAGATATAAAAACAAATAATAAATGTCTTAAATATTAACAAAGTACGAATACAAGTTCTAACACTAGCAAAAACCCCCCCAAAAAAAAAATCACACATAAAAAACCAAGAAGCACACGAAAAACTTATTAAAAACTAATAAAATAAAAGTACTTTTCAATTTTCCAATAAAAAAATCGCAAAAAATACAAGCCAGTCAGCCACAAAACACAAACGATAAATTTTGGTATGTCAAGACAACTGACGTTACTGAAAAAACGAAGAATTATAGTAACTCCCTCTGATGGATTGTATCATAGTACTAAAAGTGGAATGTGAATAGAATGTGTATATCCAAGTGCGCATACCATGGAGACTACACAAGGAGCACGCACTCAAGTGTGGCATTTGCCAGAGTATGTCCGCGCTTTATCGTATAAATAAAGCTTTCTTTTTTCACCACTAGCGTCGCTAATTTTTCTTTTGTACCGGTGTGAATATAGAGGAATAAACAAATGTGAAGTTAGCGTGAAAATAAAGTAACCGATTATTTAAGTAACGTAAACACTTGTCAAATGTTTTTAAATTAAATAAATATACTTAGAGTTATAATTAATTAATAATTAATTAGAATTATTTATTTTATTTCAAACTACCGCCTCATTCTCTTATGCCATTTTGGTACTTATGGAACACTAGCGCCCTCTTAAAATACTCTGTTTAACACAGTACGCTTGTTATACATGGAGTGCGTGCTCCTTGTGTAGTCTCCATGGTGCATACCCTGGTCTGCTCTCGTTGCCGCCAGTGGCCAGTGATGCTTGACGTGCTTCACTTGTCATTGTCGACAGGCGACGCTACAGGTATGATTAAGCCTTATGTTCTAAGGATTAAGCAGAACGATTGGAATAAAGGAATAATTCTCAAATTGCATATAATATGGCCCATCATTTCTTAAATCATTATATAACCACAATATAACTCCAAAAACATTTAAGTAGATAATCAATTTGGAGGTAAAAAAGGCTGATTAAATCAGTGTAAATTGCAAAAAAATAAGAAAAAGATATTTACTAACCTCAAATAAGATCCTATAAAATCTAAATAATGTTTGGGGGTCACAAAGTTCTTTCGTTTTAACCTCAGGAGGTAATCTATGCTGTAGTTTATTACGGAATGATGCACGTGGACGACATGCTCTATTATTTGATCTCTATACATTTCTGGAATCCTCGGATTTTCTTTCAGAAATACCGAAGCCACTGCTATTAAAGCTTGCAAGGGCCACGGAAATATCCAATCTATTATTGTATTATTTACCAAACCAGGAAAATTTCTAAAAACAATAAATAGTTCAATTTAACACTTTTTAGAAAAATGCAATAAAAATAAAAATAACTTAATTGGTAGAATTGTGGACAATGGAAATCACTATTTTTTTTAATTTAATATTTTTCATCAATTTTATTCAAAACTGATATTGGTTCAGATATTAAGGTGGGTATAGATATAACGCGTCGGGTCCAGGCCAACAACGGGCCCAGGTCCGTCAGATTTGTACAGTGTTGTGGATCTACCGCACTATGGAAAGCAACGGGCCTACTTCGATCCTATTTGGCCTATTTGGCTACACACACATCACCATTCAAATCTGACGAACTTGTCCAGTTTTAGGGACAAAGCAGGCATGACCCGGCCCCGGCCTTATATACACCTTAACAGATACTACAAAAGAATATACCAAGAACGAATTACATTTTAATAAAACACTAAAATTAATTATATGTATTTCTTATTTATTACGTTATTAATAAAAACACGTTTTAATAAAAAAAGTTCAGGTTTTATTAGCTATTCATATAACCATTTGCAAAAAGCCTCATTTTAGGATTTATTGTAAACATTCCGATCCAGGTGTGAATCGGTATACCCTTAGACTAGGTAATAAAGAAAGAACTCATAACATCGCAGAAAATCTTGTTCCATTCTGACACCAACGATATTTGACCAAAGGCGTAACATGTTGGAAATAAAAAAAACGAACTTGTATTTATGTTATTAGTACTTCATTGATCTTTTTAGGTATAAAGCAAGTTCAAAGCCTAAAAAAATTTAAATAAATAAGTAACAATAAATAAGACACAAGAAAAAATATATTGAAATAAACTGAATGAAATTGTTTACATAATAAAATGAGTGTTTTTTTTTTAATTCCGCCAAATAAAACATAATGATCTACATGTATTACAAAAAGATTTATTTTTACTTAATAAAGAATGACACTACCCAGATAGCAGACACATTTTAAAGACATCTTAAATACGTTTGTTCACGACGTTCATGGCGTTTTGAAGATCTACGCTAATATCTAAAAGATGTTTTAAAGGCGTCTATAGGACGTACTTTGTTACAAAACAAGGCGTCTTTAGGACATCTAATTTTGTACGTCTTTAAGACATCCAGTTTTGTACGTCTTGAAGACAAACCGTATTGGACGTGTTTAAATCGTCTATTTACTTAATGGAAATTCATTTAAAAAAAAAATAAATGAATACTTGTCTACTATATTTAATACTGTTTATTATACATTATTAAACTATTAAAACTTACACAGAGTAAATATTATTTTACAGTATTAGACAAAATAATTAAAAAATGACCTCAAGTAATTGTCGCTATGAGAAACTATTCCAATTTGGTCGATTTAAAAATTTCTTTTATGGTATTAATTTTAGCCAAAGCGTCTGTAACTAATGTCCCCGTAGCATATAATTTTGTTGTTATTTTTTTAAGGAGTTTTTCTAAAAAATAAGACATTATTAAAGTGAGGTTATGAAATTTAAAGGCAAATAAATTAAAACCTACCGTTTTTAATGATAAAGTTTACTAGTTCCGGTATACCACAGTTCAAATAATGGCAAATAAATACTATAAGAAGATAATATATAAAAACACACAACCACGAAAAAGTAATGACAATGTCCACAGACTGACGCTAAAAATATTATACAATATGCTGTCCCGAGAAGAAGGAAGCTAGAGGAAGAACCAAAGATATCGGATAATAGATACGCCTTGTATACATTACACTTGTCCGCAACTTTTTTTTGACGGTACGCTCTTCCTATGTTGTCAGATCTCTTTCATCAAATATCAAACATTAAATTTTTATTTAAAAAGTTACTATTACCTTTAATACAATCTAATAAAAAAAGGAAATACAGAATTGAAAGCATCAATATGAGTTTTTTTACTAATTGCAATCACTTAAGACTTTTAAGTAGCTATTTTTACATGTGTATCATATCGGAATATTAAACATTTTGGTATAAATCATTTAACTTTGGCAACCTAAGACATTTTGATGATGTTGTCAAAGTGACACATCAAGTTTTATTGTGATTTTTGTGGTTTTTTGTAGTTTTTAAGAATAATTTAAACCCTGAACTTTTTATTAAGGACTTTCACGATGGGGAAGAAATGTATAGTGTGCCGAAATACGCAGAATAAGAATGTTATTCGGTCATTTCATAAATAAGATTGTGTTAGCATAGACGTAGGCATATACAGGGAATAAGGCTTAATTTATTTAACACTGTAAAGGCATTTAGCACTAGCATTGTTTATTTAAATAATAATGTTCTATATTTTCTGATCAGTTTCATATAGAGAAATTATTCAACGTAGAATTTGGCTGCAAAATCTATGCTTAGTGGAGGAAAACATTATGAAAATAAAAGAAGCCTTAGTATATGTTCTGACCATTTTTGTATGGCAGATATTTATGAAAATTTAAGTGGTAGACACATCTTAAAACATAATGCTATACCTATCAAGTAAGTACAGTATTTATTATGGGTATTTTTATTATATGTAAGCTCAAAAATTATACAGTAATCATCACATTTTACAGAATTTTGGGAGAGGTAGTTGAAGAGGCGAAAAATGAAGAAGAAAAAAATACTTTTTTTGGTGCAATTCGTAACAGATGCTTCAATAACAATCTCACATGGAGATTGTTTCAAAATTGTTATAAAAAATTATTAATTCATAACGAAGTAAAGTCAAATAAAACTGCCAATGCAATTTCTTTAGATGACACCAGCATCTTGGATTGTAGCAACACTAGTAGCCAAATTGCGTTAAATTTAAAATGTTACGAATCAGACACTAAAGAAAATTTGGAATTTACAAATGAGCTTCGTGATCATGATTACCTATCTATATATTTTCTGATCGAATACATTCAGGATGTAGTTGCTTATATTTCTGGTTTTATAGTAAAATCCTTAAAGAAAAAGATTCACTGCAAACAGTGTTCTGCAATTGAACCAGTGAGTTCAAAAACCGTGCAAGTCTCAAATTTGACATTTCAAAATAAGCCATTTCTTTTAAAATTTGTCTCTTCATCGATTAAGCTTAAAAACGGTACTAGATACCTAGCTGTTAATGTAGTACAGCCGATTATACCCGTGAAATTAGGTGAAAAAAGGTGAAAAACCATACATATCTGCGACTCGTACGGTTTTTCATCTCAATAACAAAATAATGGTCAGTTGCTATGGTCAGTTGGAAAAAAACAAATACTGAAAATAATGATTACATAACTGAGATAACAGTTTTGATATTGTATTTTTCCTCCTTTTTGAATAAATATAAAATAAATCTTTTCTCTTTGACAGACTTTCTGTCTCAACTGTCAAAGGTGCTACTTTCTGTTCTTAATACACAAATAGCTATTTTGTCTTTTATTCCAAAATATGCTTTACAAAATATCAGTTATCTTATAACACTAAATAAATCTATTGATCAGATTCTTCACCAAGAGTGTTTGTAGGAGTAACCATTGATAGTAAAATGACATTCGAAATGTCACAAAAGAAGCTTCCTTTAGTGTTTTTTCTATTCGGACAAATTAGAAATAAAGTATCTCTTGATAATCTTAAGCTAATGTGTTTTAACCTTGTCCAGATATTATAAAATCACTGCTGATTACTGTCCTAAATGAGTTATTATATCATTACACAAATAATTCTAAAAATAGGTGTCGTGACATACAACCCAAATGGTATGTAATAGAAAGATCATATTTGTATATTTATGTATCTGAAATAAAATTGTTGTTTTTATTAGCTTTTTATTTCATAAAAAAAGGTAGTCCGGCAATATAATTATTCTTTTTTCGACCTGTAGAAAAGGTTTTCAAACAGTACCCATGTAAAAATAATAATAAATGGCTTTATATTTTTACTTGCTCTTTGCTCTTCATGTATTTAAAAAAAAAAAAAAACAATAAAATACTAACAAAAATGTTCTTCCACTTTGAGCTACCTACTATTTTAATTTATAAAAAAAATTATAAAATGACTTTTTGAATGCCCTGTATAAATTGAATACGTTTTCTTTAAATTTACCTTTGATTAAATATTTTTACTAAAAATATATGTAAACCCTCCCGAAACACTACGTCAATGTGCGACGTACGATTCCCCTTTCCCCGTCTGGTAAAACATGCGGACAGAAGGTGTATTGGGTATACAGTGTGTAGGGCGAGTCTATCTTAGATAATATGATGTCTATGGGAAGAACACGACTCGATAAGCGGGTGTGGCACTCCAATCAGCCAATGACAATAACGAATGATGATCTACATGCGCTGCAGACAGCGCCAAGAACATGGCGCCATATTCAAATATAGCGAAAAGAGTTGTACTTCCACATTACCGACATATTTAAAACGTCCTAAAAACATCCCAACAAGGACGTTTTAAACATATACTGAGCAGGGCATCTTAAAACCGTCCGTTTTACGTACCAGGACGTTTCAACGAAAGTAAGACATGAACTGAACGTCTTTAAGATGTAGTGTGCTAGCTGGATATTATTAAATTAAGCTAGTAAGAAAAATTATACATAAATGAAGATAAATTTATCACTGACCCTTAAATAATACTAATTTGGTACAATAACAAGAAGTTTTAGCGAACAACTTTTTTTATATCTTTTAAATTTTTGTTTAAGAACTTTGATTTGTCTTGTTTTTTTCTTTATTCATTTCTACCTATTGTAAAAGTTGTCTTCCAAGCCGTTTTGTGCTGGGCTTTCTAGGATAGATTCCTTATTTGAAGTTCTATATGAAGGGCCTGGCACAGCTTCCAAATGCAATGCTCTTCTTTTTAAGTACTACAAACAATCAATTATTTCGTTAATGTTTTGAATTATACACAAAAGGGTTGCTAAATTCTTAAAAGTTCATAACCTAATAATGAAAAGTAATTAAAAAATATAAATATGTTTAATTATGTTTATTATTATTCTTCGGCTGCATGTATTTAG